TATTCTTCTCCTATTTGTTTGCACGAACTGCTCATTAAATTCCTGGGCCGAACACCATGTCGTTAATACTTGACCCACAGGCCCATAATTATTTTTCCTGGGCCCAACAATTGCCCCCTTTTGAGAAGTTGAGGCGTAGGGACGCACATGTCAACCCGTCGAGCATCAACTTGTCGAAATCTTGAAAGAACATAAACGGTCATCACTGATTGTTGCACTTATAGACTAGTCATCGGTTTTACAAGACATGTCGTCAAATGTCAACCCGTCACTCGAATGACAAGACGTTTCTATCAATCCGTCATTTTTCTGGTGAGACGCTTCCTTCAACTCGTCACCCGTCTGACGAGACGACTTCCGTCAACTCGTCATTTATATGAGGCGATGCTTCTATCAACCTGTCATCTGTCTGGCGCTCTTTCGTCAACCCGTCAACCTTCAGATAAGATGCTTCCGTCAACTTGTCACTTTCCTTGCAAGTAATTTTTGATCGAATCCATCTCTTTGATTGAAGCGACAAAGAACGAAGGCTAATCTCCTATCCGCTTCCTCCAAATTTGTGCTAATGGATCATAACTAGTCAGTGCTGACGAGATGAATCTTCGTCCAGGTTGACGTCAACACTTCAGTTGATAGAGGTGATTTTGTCCCTCATTGGATACATGACGAGTTTGGCTCCGTGAGTGTGGCCATAACCTGCAAAAACTTTAAATAACGTTACGTTTGTGATTTGTGTTGATGTCGTTCGTATTACTCCTTATGTTGGAGAATGTGCGTATGTATTTTTTGTTGTACGTGTGTTGTCATATATGTTTTGGTTGCACGTGCGGCGTCATATACGTGTGTAGGTTTTGGCCAAAAAATATATATGTTGTAGGGGCCGGCTGGGACTGTTATCCATGATCTTCTCATGGGCAGCCCAGCCCTTTCCCCTTTGATGTTAGTGTATAATATGTAACTGGCATGAGCATGGTTGAAATCTTAGTTGCCTCGGTAACTGCTTGATCTTGTGCTTCGAGATAGTCCTACATCCATTAAAAACCATCGAAGCTGGCCGTTGGCTTTGGGCCAACGGCCCTCTGATGATTAAGTCAGTAAAAGCAATGAATATATCTTGAAGCGGAAATGTATACTCTACACCGAATACGTCACAACTTTCTATGAACAAGATGACCACATAATGTTTCCATAAAGGATCCAAAATTTATTGAACTCAAGCTTAGAAATGAGATAAGTTAATCATGTACAAAATAACTCAAAGGAAAATGCATAGATTATTAAAGAAACCAAATTTTAACTAGACTCAATCTATTCTAAATCATTCACTCGGTTTTATAAATGATATGAGATTTTTCAAATTAAACTCACTGATCTGTCAGGGATCAAAGTAAGACAAGACCTCAAAGTGACGTACAGACTGACCAATGACCATGACGCTTTGACAGATTCGTTGTACCCGATACGTCATGGACTTATTGTGCGACGTATCAAAGAGATTTACCTGGCGCCTCATTCGGTTTCCTGCGCTCAAAACGTCGTTAGGATTGGTCGTTGGCCTTAAGCCAACGGCCCTCCGATGATTAAGTTAGTAGGTGATCGTTTATAGATAAATGAAAATAATAGATTAAGAATATGTATACCAATCTAGATAAGTTATCACCATAACATGTCTACCGTAGGACGATATGCCCCCCGTCTGACGATTTCAATCATTTCGTCATCGAAGTGAGTTATCACGAAAGTGACTCGTCACAGAAATGACTCGTCACGGAAGTAACTCGTCAAGAAAGTGATTCGTCATCAAAGTGATTCGTCACAAAAGCGATCCGTCACAGAAGTGACTCGTCACGGAATTGACGACAATATGCAAAAGAAAGTAACAAACTAAAAATGAAACAACTTTTAAGGGTACCGTATTGCAGCTCTTTAGAATCTGTCTATCATCGGACGATGTGCCCCCCGTCCGGGATATCAATCACTTTGTCTTGTTCATTTCGTCATGGAATGACGACTCGTTCCTCGGGTCTTGAATATGGTTTTCCAGACTTGTAATCAAGCCTCCTAGGAGATTCTGATTTCCCATGCCCCCATTCATGCTCAACATGTCCAAGACGGGATCGTAAGTCTTCTTCTAGACGGATGAAAGCTAACGCCTTTGCTTGGACATCTTCGAAGGATCGACAAGGGTATTTCGTCAGTTCTCGGTATAGCTCTGAATCTTCATATAAACCTCTTCTGAATGCTTCAATGACGGTAGAGACGTCACATTTTGGGATCGACACCTTCCTTACGTTGAATCTGTGCAAATAATCTCTAAGTGATTCACCATGCCTCTGTGTGACTTGATACAAGTCACTGGTCCGTCTTTCCAATACCCTACTACTCGCGAACTGTCGATTGAAAAGATTGACGAGTTCGGCAAATGAACTGACGCTTCTATTCGGAAGATTGACGAACCATTTTAAAGCGGGACCAGCCAGTGTTATGCCAAATCCCCGACACATACATGCCTCTCTCTGTTCAAGTCTAACGGAGATGGTCGACATCACTTGCTTATACCGCGCGACATGTTCTCCAGGATCCGTGGTTCCGTCAAATGGCTCCATGGTTGGTACGTCAAATTTATTCGGCAGCTGGACATGAATGATCGACTCGTCAAAAGGTGAATCTTCATAACACGTTCGTGACGCTCTGCCCAAGGGCGTTGGTACCCTTGGCAATCCGTTGAGTTTGTCCTGCATCTGTCGCATTTGCTCCCTCAATATAGCCATCTGATCTGCCATATCCGGATGGAGGGGAACTGGAAACGACGATGTCGGTGCTGCCATCTGGCTGACTTCATGACAGATTGATGATGGAGTGAAGATCATTTCAGGACGTCTTTCAGGAAACGTCGATGCTAGTAACGCGTCAAATCCGTCATAGCGTCGCAGTTGAGGTTCTAGAAATGACACGCTGGGCCCATTTCGTCTGGCGTCCTGCATGAAACTTGATGGGCCGGCTTCTGCACCATTCCTGCTCCTGTAATGTGGGATTGACGGCCCTGCTGGGATAGGGGTCACACCAGTTGACGGATCGGAGTTGGATGGACCGGGATCTCCGCTGGTTCTGCTCCTATAATGGGGGATCGACGGTTCCGTCATGGTGGAGTACAGAGTCGTCGTAGGCAGGCTTTGAGTTGCTGCTTGCAAGCCTGATCCGTTTGCCCTGACCCGAAGAGATTCCGGGAAGAAACAAACCGGTATGTTGGCTGGTGGTGTCGTCGTTGGCAAGAGTGGCGTATACGGAATGACTTGCGAGATTACCGTTGAGCATGGCTCCCCAGTCGGTGTCAGTGACAGACCCAATGTAAGAGAGACTGGATCCGTCGATGATGCTGGTGGATCCGTCGATGTTGCGGGTGGATCCGTCACAGCTGGGGAGAAACAAAGATCCAGTCGTGTTACGGCAGTCATTGTGTCACTCCTCCGGTTGAGCTTTGACTTTGAGGCTATTGACACCGCAGACTGTACCTGGGACCGAAGTACATCATTTTCCCGTTGGAGATGAGCCATCTTCTCCGCCATCTCGCGCCGGATTTCATCTCGGACCGTCTCTAATTGCTCATGGAATTCAATCAACAATTGATTTGCTCCTTCCATATGTGATCTTTTTCTTGCACGATGCCCCACGGTGGGCGCCAAATTGTTTTAGCAATTTTATGCTAATTTAAACAATCAATTGAATGAAAATGATGGTTGGGCTACGTACAAGATATAAACTAGTATAAATATATATTAATAGCAATTGGATATGAATTCAAGAGCTTTGTTCCCAAAAAATCTCTTTTGAAGATCAAAGACCAAACTATTGATAATTATTGAGGTGGAAAGTTCCAGCTCTCTATATATAATATATAATGATTATAGCTATGTGAGGAGTGGGATATGATTCTTCGTATTAAGAAAGATAAGAACAAAACTATATCTATTAGTTGCAAGTGACCGTGTGTTTACAAATGTGTAATACTCCTCTATTTATTCTAAAGCTATGCACGCTCCAACTCTAACCCTCCACCGAAATAGGTGGCACCTCCTCCAAAATAGGCTTTTTAATCTTCAATCGTTATCCCCATTTTGAATTATTCTTCTCCTATTTGTTTGCACGAACTGCTCATTAAATTCCTGGGCCGAACACCATGTCGTTAATACTTGACCCACAGGCCCATAATTATTTTTCCTGGGCCCAACAATAAATTTAAAAAGTCGTCTTCGAGAAAACCTGGAGTTTGTTTTGAATTTCTTCGACGATGGAGTAATAACGAAATTAACATAAGGTAATAAAATTGAACATGAAAACTTAATAAATTAAATTAAAGGTTGTTATAAGCGTTTCACAAATAGATATAAAAGTGCCAGAGATGTTAATTAACAGACAATGTTTATCTATAATGCTCGATCTATATGAGATTTTTAAATTTTATTAGAAAAATAAGGAGTAGAAGAGAAAAAATAGCACAACCTGGTTCATTATATGCTAATTATGTGTTAAAAGAATAGTTTGATATCTCTTATTTATATAGACTATTCTATTTTTAATATTCAATTCGGATGACATCGCTGATAATGCACGATTTATGACTTTAAATGTACGATTAATTATAGGTGACAATTCCGGTACCCATTTAAAAAATGGTGTACCGTATCTACCATGCATTTGATTGGTCCAAATCATTAAATCCCTTTTAATTTAGATTTAAATAATTCAATTGCATGATTCTAATTGATCCATGTGGACAAATGTACAATACTTTATGAGTACCATAGAATCTACCTTGATTATAACAAAACGTTTTATTATATCTAAAAATGGAAAGTGAGAAGATATGGAAAGTAGAAAATATCAGTGGAACAGTCCAAAAATGAAAGGTAGAACATTTCTGGAGAAGACTGACAATTAAAACCAAAACAGTTTTTAGTACATCAGTAACATGTGTACTTCTCAAAGATTCCAAGCTGATATGACAACAGAGCCATTTTTACTCCTTAAATAACCCAATCATCGTCCCACAGATTTGGCAAAGACGATCAAAAGTTAAAAAACTACCTCCTCTGTTTTCCCAGTCCACAAAAAAATGGGGTCTCATCCCGAAGACTTCTGTAACGGCAACGCCGTCTCTCATCCTCCTCTCCACGTTCTTATGGTCTCCTTCCCCGGCCAAGGCCACGTCAACCCTCTCCTCCGCCTCGGCAAGCGTCTCGCCGGAAAAGGCCTTCTCGTCAGCTTCTCCGCCCCGGAATCGGTCGGAGTAGAGATGAGAAAGGCCAACGCCAAAATCAGTGAAGAACCCACTCCTTACGGCGACGGGTTCATCCGATTCGAGTTCTTCGACGACGAGCTGGACAGGTCGGGCCCTCACGGGCACGACCTTGACTTCCAGCTCGACCAGATCGAACGGATCGGGTCAGAGAGAATCTCCGAAATGATCGTGAAATACAAAGAACAGGGGTCCCCTGTTTCTTGTCTAATCAACAATCCCTTTATTCCCTGGGTTTCAGATGTCGCCGAGAAACACGGGATTCCGAGCGCTGTTCTTTGGGTCCAGTCCTGTGCCAGCTTTTCCTCTTATTATCATTACCAGAACCAGTTAGTTCCATTTCCCAGTGAATCGGAGCCGTTCATCGACGTTCACCTGCCCTGCATTCCGGTGTTGAAACACGACGAGATTCCGAGCTTCCTGCACCCTTCTTCGCCGTACAAATTCCTGGCTCGGGCCATTCTTTCCCAGTTCAAAAACCTCTCCAAACCATTCTGCATATTGATGGAAACTTTTCATGAACTGGAGCCAGAGGTGATTGAGTACATGTCAAAGCTCTGCCCCATCAAACCCGTAGGTCCCCTGCTCATCAACTCAGCCGGAAAAAGTGGCGGCGGAAAAACCGATGACGTCCGTGGAGACTTCGTGGCGGTCGACAGCTGCACGGAGTGGTTAGATTCCAAACCGGAATCTTCCGTTGTGTATATTTCCTTTGGGAGCGTGGTGGCATTGAAACAGGAGGAGGTGGAGGAGATCGCTTACGGGCTGTTGAATTCGGGGGTCCCTTTCTTATGGGTCCGGAAGCCGCCGCTGCCGACGTTCCCGGAGTCGGTTTTGCCCGACGGGTTCTTGGAGAAAGTCGGGGATAATGGGAAGATAGTGAAATGGTGCTCCCAAGAACAGGTGCTGGCGCACCCATCCGTCGCCTGTTTCGTGACCCACTGCGGGTGGAATTCGACAATGGAGGCCATCACCAGCGGCGTCCCGGTGGTGGCTTACCCGCAGTGGGGCGATCAGGTGACGGATGCTAAGTACTTGGTGGATGTCTTCAAGGTTGGGGTCCGACTGTCCAGAGGTTCTGCAGAGGACAGAGTCGTCAGCAGGGAGGAAGTGGAGAAGTGCCTGATCCAGGCGACTCGCGGGCCGAAGGCGGCGGAGATGAGGGAGAACGCGCTGATTTGGAAGAGGAAGGCGGAGGAAGCGGTGGCGGAAGGTGGGTCCTCTGACCGGAACTTGCATGAATTCGTCGGAGACATTGGGAAGAAATGAGCTGGCAGCCTCATAGCCGTTGAAAATGTTGGCGCAGAAATTGTTTTATGGTGTGGTTTCTATTACTAGTAGTACGTATTGATTGAAGTGATGTGACGGAGATGATTCATGGTCGTTGTTAATATGTTCAATAATACTTTCTATTTGATTTTTCCATGAAGGGTAAACATAAAAGGAAAAAGCTAAAGGTACCCCAAAATGGGTACCCCCATTTGTCCCCACCCTATTGGGTGGCCACAAATGAGGCAACTTATTTAAGTGGGGCACCACTTAAATGGGTTGGCTCATTTGTGGCCACTCAATAGGGTGAGAGACAAATGGGGTACCCCATTTTGGGGGTACCTATAGCAAAACTCAACATAAAATTAACTGCCACAAAATATACGATAGTATACAACATCCAAAAGACATTTCCTCATAACCCTCATCAGCTTAATTAAGCATCACAGAAACAATTGCCTAAGCATCAGTAGTAAAGAAGTCAAAACTTTCTGCATTTTTCCTCATAATACCATATCAGCAAAACAGTAGTCTACTAGTCTATCAAGGCTTTTCCTTCTTTCCCCTAGAAAAGCAGTTCTTTCATCCTTTCCAATAGAACCCAGAAAGCCTTGGCAAAAGAGCACTGGAAAACTGCCAAGGAACCCCCGTTCTTTCATCCTTTCTATTTGTGTATTCGCGCATTAATTAACGCACGTGATATGTATTGCATACGGATACGGGAAATAAAGGCTATCTCGGCGTGTGCAGCTGTCGTGATAAAGGCATAAAGTTGAAAAACATACTCCTTTCCTTAAAATTTTGACAATTTGACTGTAAAAAAATAGAAAATTAACTGTATAAAAAATTCTTTAGAGTGTTTTCTTTTGGACTGAAATTTACTAGTCTGGTATGATCCATCCTTCCTTGAAATTCTTCCGATTTTAATTTGAATCAGAGTTTAAGAAAGTTGAATTAAAGTGGAAATGTGTGATTGATGTTGAGTACGAAAAATGTAAATGACCACACAAAACCTTTCAAAATGTGTAATGAGAAAAAAATGATGACTCAAAAGTTTAAGTGAGAAGAATTCTAAAGGAAGAGTGTACTATTTTCATAACATTCATATCCTTCCATTTAAAAGTATGTGAGATTATGAATAATGAAAGATAATATAAATTATTGAAGGTGTGAGAGTGTGATGGGAAGATAATGAAATTGTGTGATACAATGAAGGATGAATTAGAAAAAAGTTATAATAGTTTACATATTCTGAGTTATTTATAAAATTATTGAGAATATGATGAAAAGATTTAGAAATTGGAAAATATGAATGTTACAGTTGTAAAAGAAAAGTGAGAAGATATTAATGCTACTGAGAGAGTATTTAATTAATAGATTAAAAAATATGAAAATTGCTAAAATGATTAGCTATAATCATTTCGATCAGTTCAGCAATAAAAACAACTTCAACGTTACTTATTTTGATTATTACGCAATTCAACGTGCAAAACTAAAGACAATATTTGATATAAAAAAAATTGAATCATTTTGACAAAATACTTGAGTTAAATAATTGATGTGATATATATGTAATAAATAAATTATTTAAAATTCATGTAATTTAAGTGGGAATAAAAGCTTATTTTAAGATTTAATAATATATAACTGATTCACTGTTTCTAATCAAATTTTATGCATTTCAAATTTAGAAAACACTGATTTTCTAGGTGTCGGAACTTGCATGAATTCGTCCGATCGAGACATTGGGAAGAAATGAACTAACTGGCGGCCTTATAGCCGTTGAATCTCCTCGGCGCAGAAATTTTTATTTATGGTGTGGTTTTTATTAGTACGTATTAATTGAAGGAAGTGATGTGACAGAGATGATTCATGGTCGAATATGGTTCAATAATACTTTGCACTTTCTAATCCGTATTTGTGTATTCATTCATTAATTAATGCACATGATGACATGATATGTGAGGAAGCGGTTCAGCTCAGCTGGTCGCCGACTCAATCTCCTTTATAAGATCTCAGCTTCGAAAATCAATAGAGTGAGTTTCAACCGTAATTATTCCAGCCCCCAGCGCATATGATATGTGTTGCATACGGATACAGGAGGATAAATTCTATATGGGCGTGTGCAGCGTGTCGTGACGGAGCTGAAAAACATACTCTCATTCCCTTAAAATTTTGTCAAACTTAATCGTTATGCGGATTAATAAAGTAAAATTTGTTTCTGCAAAGGAGAGAAAATTAATTGAAACTACAAATTCTTTACTAAAAAGAGAAAATGGAAAAGTTAACGGGACAATAAAAAAAGGAAAGTTGACAAAATTTTAATGAACGGAAGAAGTATTAGGTTAACATTTAGGTTTTAGAGCAATTCAAAATATATTTAAAATATACTCTCGTAATCCCTTAAAATCCTTCCCGGTTCAATTTTGATCAGAATTTAAGAAAGTTGAATTAAAGTATAAATATATGGTTGTGGTTGAGTCAGAAAAAAGTAAATGAATCTTAGTCATACAAGAATTCTAAAGGACAAAGAGAGTACTACTTTCAACATTCATATCTTCTCATTTAAAAGTATGTGAGATCATAAATAGTGGAAGAAGATATAAATTATTGATGGTGTGGGGTGTGAGAAAAGATAATGAAATAGTGTGCTAGAATAAAGATAAATTAAAAAAATAGTTATAATAGTGTACATATTCTGAATTATTTATAAAGTTATTGAGGATCGGACATGATGAAAAGATTTAGAAATCGAAAGATATGAATGTTATGGTTGACAAAAGGAAAGCGCAAAGATATTAATATTATGGAGGGAGTATTTAAATGATACATTAAAAATATAAAAAAATAGCTAAAATGATTTTTTATAATAATTTCAGTCAATTCAGTATAAAAACAACTTTAACATTACTTATTTGGATTATTACACAACTCAACGTGCAAAACTAAAAGTCAGGCATTTGATATAAAAAACGAATCATTTTGACACAATACTTGAATTAAATAATTTATGGGATAACATTAGTTTAAATAAGATATAGAGAGAACTAGTGGAACAAGTGTTGATCGGAGCGAGAGTATTTCCTCTCTAAATCTTCGAGTATTTCCTAGGGCGTCTCTACGCCGCTAGGGCTTTGGTGCGTCCGATCTCGGCGGTCGGCCGAGGATCGTGAGAGGGTGGCGGCAGCAAGCGGCTGTCGGAGTTGGCTGGACGGGACGAAGAAATACGGATGGAAGATTTTGTGAATTCATACAAGAGACTTTCGATGAACGAGCAAGAGAACGAGTTGAATTTTGATGAAGATGCAGTGGAGGACGGCGAGGAGGAGGCAAGGCCGACTGGTTTTCCGGCGGTAGCAGTGGTGATTTCAGATCGCAAAATTAAACTGGCAGGGTTTCAGGAGATGATGATCGCGGTTTGGAAACCAGTTAAAGGTATGACTATCAAGGAAATCGGCAACAAAAGGTATCTGTTAATTTTTAATCACTGTTTGGATATGAATCGTGTTATTGAAGATGGCCCTTGGCTATTTGAACGCGATTTGATTTTACTAAAAGCTATTCAGCCTGATGATATACCTGAATCAATGAATCTGTATGAGGCTAGCTTTTGGGTACAGGTTCACCATGCTCCTATAAAGTATAGGAATCTGAGATCTGCTAGAAGAATTGGTAATTTTCTGGGCTCTTTTATTAAATTTGAGATGAGCCAATTTGATGGGAGGCAGACTTCCTATTTGCGTATTAGGGTGTCTATGGATGTTCGTCAGCCTTTGAGAAAAGGTACTAATCTGACACATGATGGTGTTAAGCATTGGGTGGACTTTAAATATGAGAAGTTGCCCGGTTTCTGTTTCATTTGTGGCATTATTGGTCATTCGGATAAATTTTGCCCGTTGAAGTATGAAGAGGGTTTTGTTGCTGAAAAAACATTTGGAGTGGAACTTAGAGCTGAAGGAAGAGTGAAGACCAGCCCTACAGGAGCATACAAATGGACTTCTGCAGGAGCTTCAAGCTCTGAAGGGTATGGCAGCCAATGGAACCCTGATACTGGAGGAAAGTATTCGGCCGAGCCCAAGGGCATCACACCGGTACTTTTTGAGGGCAACAACGAAGAGGAGATGCCTGGGGAGCTCAAGCGCAGGAGGACCTGGTAAACTCAGGCTGAACAAAACGCCGTTGATGAAGACATGGGTATGGAGGGGACAAAAAACGGAGGAGGGGCGGGTCTGGCTCCCTAGACCCGCCGAGGTTGTGTTGGCAGTTTGTGGGGAAGAAAACTTGTTTTGGTTTCTTTATCTTCTTCTGTTTCGAATTTAATTCTCCGCAGTGTTTTGTTTTGTTTTTCTGTTGTGCGTTTTTTCCTTGTAAGACTCTCGCATTTAGTTTGGGGGAGGGAGAGGCTGCGGTAACCGTCATTAGCTCTTTGTTGCCCAAATTTGGTCTAGCGAGCTATACTGCTTTTGCACAGGTGGTTAGCTCTCAGTCTCGGCCACGGGCGGATGGTTATTTGTGGTTCTTTTCTAGTTTTATCCTCCTGCTAAATGCTACTTTAATGAATTAAGGATTCTTCGAGCAAAAAAAAATATAGAGAGAACTAGTGATGTGAGAATGGTGTCCCAGGAGAGAAATGAGAATAAAATCTAACCATCAAATACATAACATCAATGGTCAAGATTACGCATAAATGAGTGATGGTAATTTGTAATTAAATCGAACTTGTATGGCAATTCTAATCATATTACTAACCGTATTAGTGGTGAGGACAAGTTAGTAAATTACTAATTAAAATAAAAGAAGTCGTGCCCACTAAATATAATAGTCATTAAATGCTTTCTTTTTCTCAATTCCACTCTACGTACGGGAAGTTCCGTATAAATGGGAAAGTACCACCCTAAAACTTTGGCCCATTAAATTACTTTCCATTAAAAAAACTCTTTAATTTATGTTTAAATAGTGCTACGATGATAAATTAGCTTAATTAGTTTACTAAAGGTTTGGTAAATGCACTTTAGGTATTTAGTTGGTGCAAAATTATTTATATAGCTTTGCATTTCATTTATAATTTACTGCTTCTTATTTACACTTTCTATATCATGAATCATCTGCACTTTATCCTTGAATTTGTGCACATGTATACAAATGAATTTGTGCATTTTGAATATATGTAAATGTGCACTATAACACCGGAGTTACA